CCATATTTTTCAATGTTTAAATTAAAATTTATTCATCGATCAAAAATATTCTTAAAACGAACTGAATCATTTGGAAATATTTATTTCGAGTATCTGCTAAAAATGGATCTTCGAAGTCCACTGTAAAAAACAAAATAATTTAATTAACAAATAACTTCGAAACATCAAAAAAAAAAGATTATTTAATAGAAACTTTAACAAATACGATATTCTTATATACACAAATAAAAGTTTTAAAAACTAATCTCGATAAATCACATTGTGACAACTAGAATCGATAAAGTTTAATTCCTGAGAGTAGGTACATAGAAAAAGTCTATTCCTATCTCACGCTGAGAGTTTTTCTTCGTCTTTAAAGAATTAACGCTTACGGGATAATATCGTTGAAAATTTTTCCTTCGCTCGTTAAGGAGCACTTCTCAAAAGAGTCGCCATTTGGCAACGAAAGAAGGCTACTACGTAGCATCGAAAGAATCGTTATTCCTCGAGAAAAACTGTAATAAACAAAGTGGATAAGACATTAGCAGAAATACAGACATATTTTATGATAGATCGTAAATAATATATACATTAGTTCGCACATTCTTTTTAAACAACGGTATTATTTTTCATATCTTTCGTACAATGGCGTAATCTTGAAGCGTTGGAAAAATCATAAATAAAAATCTCTCAATAATCCTCGTCAAAATACTATTCGATAATATTTGACAAATGAGATGTCAGATTATTTAATATATTTATTTTTCTTCTTTCAATCTTAATAAATATCTTCGATAAAAATATTTATTACATTTTAACTTAAGAAAAAAAAACTTCTACGGGCATATTTTACGAATAATAGAAAAAAAAAGAATAAGAATCGAGAAAAAACGTAATAGGATATTTAAACAAACAATAGGACATTTCGTTTCTCACGGAAATAGCATCATTCGAAGACAACGACAACGACGACATGAAAAGTCGTACACGCAACACGTAAAACCGGCTATCCCTCTTGCGTAGTAAAAGCTCGACATTGAATATTGCATAGAAAATTGCTTTTACGTGGGGAAACTTGGTGCTACTATTGGTAAGAAAAAAAAACTTACGTATATTGCGGTTGGCAACATGAGACAACGTTGGAAACGATAAAAATAACTTTTGGTCAGACTAAAAGAGGAAAAAGAAGAAGAAGAAGAAAAAAAAAGGAAAGAAAAAAGAAAGAAAAAGGAAGCCTATACTGAACTCTATTTCCATAAAATGAAAATACTACTTCACAAAACTACGATGGCCGAATGAGATGACCTTTTAGCTGTCTCGTCCATGCATTCTGAATAGAAAGATGAGACATCTTAAAATTCATCAAATCGATTAGATTACCAAATCTGGCTGAAACGCTCATCTTCGATTTCCGTTATATCGATTACCTTCGACACGATATTCTAAATCTAGAAATGTAAAACTTTAATAAAAATATACGGATCAAGTGTAAATAGTTAATCTTTGTTAAAACCAGATTGTCTAATAAGTAATTTAATATCGAACAATTTGGAGAACATTTTGCAAAATATTTAATGAAAAATCTAGAAATATATAAGTCGAACATGGCCTTTTATAAATTTCAAAGGGAGAATCTCGTTGTGAGTTACGATATGTCTCAAGCGACGATAAGAGAGAAACATATGCGCCATATGAGAAATTGAATGCACTTAGTGACAAGGTAGATAGCCGTAAAGATGGAAAAATTTCAAAGTTAGACGATCGATGGTTTTACCAATGGCATCATCCTATATATATAGGTATACTATATGGTTTTTTCGTATTTACCGAATCGTAGAGAATAATAAACTTTTAATGTGATGAAAAATAAGATAAAAGTTTGAAAAGGGAAAAGAAAAAGAAAGAAAAAAAAACCTAATTAAATATCATAATATTAGGAAAATACATTTGCAAATGTAATTATACAAAGAAGTCATGTGAATACGAATAATGTCTTAGAAGCTGAATGCGACAAGATTTACGAGAATAATTAAGACCTACCACTTAAGATGGGTGTGGAAGGGGGAAAGGAGGGGGTGACATATACCAGTCACGATCGATCATAACTCGCGACACGCGAGAAGACTCAATGCATATTTACTTAAGTTAAACTTAAACGCGTTTAACCAAGCATGAACGAGTAAGAGTTTTGCTCTCATAATGGAACTTCGACCCTCCTTATTTTTCTATTCTCCCGCAACTCCTTTAAACTATTCGTCACGTCTTCTAAATTCTACTCATCTGGAATACCTTTGAAAAATATTGCTTATTATTTTTTCAAAGTAAGTACATTTCATATGGAATTTATTTACTTTTAAATAAATCATCAAATAAGTATTATAAACAATTAATTTGTTATATGCGTACGATAATAAATAAATAAATTCTATAAATATACAATATAATATAAGAATACTTACATTTTTATATGAACAATTAAACCGTAATCACTTAAAAGCAATAACTTCTAAATAAGATAACGATCTATTAAAAGGGAAATATTTGTACTAATATATCTGTAATCGACAAGGTCTTCTTTTTAAGATTTTTTTTTCCTTTTTTCAAAAGCCCCAATTTTCCAGAAACTGTTTCAAGATAGGATCGATTATTCGTGAGAAGTTAACCGCAAGGAACATAACACGAAGAATTTATTATGCACTCAAACTTAGCACTTTTGAACGCTCAGCCGGCTTATAGACCGAAGTACGATTAAGTTTTGAAACAGATGAGAAGAATACCACGTGAAAAAGCCAACAAATTTAAACTTCTTCTCTCGAGGAAATATATTTAACGATTTATGTGCTTACAAATATAATATATAGTACATATAGAATACATATATAATATACACCAAAAATACAGATATTTAACAAATTTGATTTTTCCGATTTTTTCAAATGTTATTCTTTACTCTATGCTAAAGTAGATACTTGATATGAGAATATCGATGCATAATATTTATATACCTATATATCTATTTAAAAAAAATAATATGTATACATAATATTAAAACAATATATGAATTATAACACATTTAATTTCTCCGATTTTCAAGTGTTATTTTCTACTTTATGCCAAAAGACTTCATAGCAACAAATTCGATGTTTTCGATTACCAAATGTCACTTACACTCCATATCAAAGCACTTGATACAAAAATATGAAAGTAACACTGGTCACTTATTATGCCTTGACCAAATTTATTCCGAATAGTACCGGAAAACATTTTTGCATACATACATACATGAATATATATGTATATAAATATATTAGCTACGTTAGATATAAGACAAATAAAGAGAAGAAAAAATCAAAAGATATCTCTGCCTTCTTACACTGCGATAAAGGATGACCTAGAAAAGAAGAAAAAGAAAGATAATGACCGAATACATATTTTCCCAGGACGTGTTCCTTGATAAAAACATACAACGATGCCAGAGTCAGAAACAATTCTTTTCTACGCTGAAGATATTCTTGTATGTGTATATATTATATATAATGTACACAAACACATATATACGCCTGTTTCCAACGAGATAACTAAAAAATCATATTTCCACATCAATTATAAAAAAAATTTTTCGAATTCTTATAATTTGCTTCGAACGTACTAATTGGCATTAGAGATTGTCAAAATTGAATTTTCTCACGTTGTCATCGAACATTTGTTACGAAATAAACCAACATATTCCTTCAATCAATTTCTCTACGATAAGAAAAAAAAACTTGCGAAGTTAACGAAACATATGGCAATTATATTTAGATTCTAAACAATATACGAAAGAAATGCTATTTATTTATCGAAAAATTAAATCTCGAATTTGAAAAAAAAATCAAATTGGAGGAGATAAACTAAATATTATTTTCTTCGTTTTGGTAAATTTTTACGAATTTTTTTTCTATAAGAGAGAAAGCGACGTTTTTATTCGCGATCATTATCGTATGGTACATAACGATAAAGGTTCTATAGAGACTACTCACGTGAATCTCTATCTTTTTCTCTCTTTCCATTTTTTCTCTTTGTCTCTCTCTTGATTTTAGAAATTCAAATGCCCTTTCCTCGGTTTCACAAAAATGTCGATCGCAATTTCCTTACAAAAATCTCCTATCTTGATAAGATTCAAGGCACGAGTATTACGTGAAAGCTTTCCCCTTCTCCAAAAAACGTCGAGTTCTTTGCGAAAGAAAACTAAAAGTAGAATATCTTTGGTGGAAGTGCATGTGGAGCCTTAGAGTCGATATCACTGTAGAGTTACCAAGAAGGGATAAGAAGGATAGAAGAAGGAAAGTCAACGTGCCACGTACACACCATCTGCATGTGTGTGTATATATACATGTATGTATAGATACATATACAAACTTGTAAGAATGAGAATTTTAACGAATGGACCCTTAGAAATCAACGAATCAATCTAATAGTGTTATTATCTAACAATAAACATCTCAATCTCTCTTTGTGTATCAATACATTTTTAATGAATACATTCATTTATTTTAAATTTTAAACGAATACATTTAATAAAAAATGTGAAATAAACAACAATAATATTTTTACGAATAAGAAAAAATATAGATAAGAAGTCACTTGGAACTATTTTTAGTCCATGGTAAATATATTAAAAATAATATAATTTGCCTGAAGATGAATAGCCTTTCTAACACGTTTATTTCGAAACACCTATCGATGTTACGATAAGAATGAAATAAACGTCTATCTTCATAATAGAAATTTTACATGTCTATTAAATTACTTTCTTTTTCCTTTTAATTATAACTCATTGCAGCTGAACGTTGAAAGAATCACGTGTTATTATTATAATACAATGAAAAGAAAATAACTCGAATGAAAAATTTCTATTAAATCAAAAACAGTATTCCTCGTTAAGCTTATATCAAACTCATATATTTATAAATCAGAAATAAAATGAATACGTAAAATTTCATTCTAATATATCTAATATAATATTTGAATTCCGTGTTTACCTTATTATCCAATCCAAGTCAAATAACTGCATGATCTAAAAATTGTGATAAACTGGAACAAACGAATCCGCAAATCGAAGAAGTATCTTGATATATTGTCGGAAAAAAACTCAAAATCTTTTTCTCGAAGATGCTGCTACCTCCACGTGGACCACTTGTCGCTATGATGATGATTTTCCCTATGTTTTCACTCTATTAATGAAAATGTTTCTTTTTATAAACGAGTTTAGATTAAGGATGTCACGTTGACGAGACAACTCACTCCGTGAGAGTAAGTTGATCGATATGCGAAAGAGACAAAGAACTAAAAAATGTATAAGTACAGGACACATAAACAAAAAATTATTGAAACGATCGTCGCGACGTATAAACGCGCACTGCCCTCGCGGGATCTCACAGCGTCGTGAGCAAAGCGTCGGAGAGCGTCGCGACGGTAACGCGACGACGCCGAACTCTCGCGATCATGAACGCATGTATGTATGTGTCAAACGCATGCGCGCGCACCCTTAACTAACTCCTTCCTTCTTCTTCGTCTTACTTTAAATTCTTCTCTAATTAAAATTCAACTATTTTTTTCATACAATAACTTATGATTCGAATGAAACTTTCTTTCTTTGTTGAACTTGTTTTAACGTTGAAACATTTTAATAACTTCGTCTCTTTTTTTCTCACAAATGTTATATTTTTATATTATATTTTGTATCATTCAATTATAATATTATAAGGATTATTAAAACGTATAGATATCTATTTAATATACAACTTGTATGCGTATGTATTACACCCCTTAAAATGATAACTAAATTATTTATTGATATTAAAAAAAAAAGGAAACGCGTAGAGAAATTGAAAAAGAAATTATTTTAATGGAAATAATAAATGAAATAGCAACACGATAGGAAAATTATATTTGGTCGTAGCATAACTTTTGTCGTATTTGAAATTAATTTAAATCATCGAAACTTGGAATAGATACTTATTTAATTAATTATATATAGACCCTTATTGTCAACAATTTGCCTCCATTTAGAAGGTAGGCAGTTTTTCAAATTCCAATAATAAAACAACTTCTATTCGCAAAAAATCAGACATTGTTCAGAAAAAAATACGACAGAAATTGTGCAACTACCTAATAAATTGGTTAAAAAAGTTTCAAAGTAAAAGAAAAGAGAAAAAAGAAAGGAAATAGTAAATATGCAATAAAAGATTCGAGATCAAGGAAACTGCAAAAATTAGAATAAAGTTGAACATATTTAGTTGCGTAAGAAACATTAATAGAAGTTATTATTAGTGGATGGGTGAATAGAAAAATAAATGAATAAGAAAGCTTCAAATTGTTGTTAGAAAACTAAATCCTGTTTGTATGACTGCGAAACTAAATAAATACACTATTATTATTATTATAAACATTTTAAGTATATTACGTTTAATATTAATTCTTATTTTATAAAACTGATATTATATTAAATGTCAAACGTCCGAAATTTTAATTGTCTCTCACTTAAGACCTTTACTGCGAATACTTCACATAACTTAAGACTTAATTAAACGTAATTATTCAAACCGCAATCGACAAGATTTCTAAGTATTGAACTTTAAAGTTATATTACCACTTATCTCCTTCCAAGATATATCGCATAATCTCGTGAGATTTTATCATCTTCGAATAGGATCATAAATTCTGATTTCCTAATTTATATCGAGTTCTTGAATAAAAAATATCATAAGAACTAAACGAATGAAATAATAAAACCTTAAAACAAAAACATGGCAATTATTTCTCTATTTAAATCTAAAAAACATACAAATTATATAAAAATTACAAAATCATTACACAATTTTGTAAAATCATAAAACTTTTATTTATTATATAATGAAAAGAAAATAAACGAAAAGAAAATGAAAAAAGACAAAGACAGGAATCAAAGAAAAATACGTAGGCAAAGGTAAAATATGAAAAATAGGAATTTAATTTGTATCTCTGACGAGAGCTTAACTTCATATCGCGTTTAATCATATGGAAGAAAGCATATCAGGGGCGTCATTCTACGAAATGAGAAATTCAGAATCCAAAATACAAAATATCTTGATCATTGTTTTTAACTAGAAATTCTACCTTCTATGCAATACGATTTAAATGAAAATGTACTGTAAAAAACACCGTTACCATCTTATCTTAATTCTAAACAAAAACTAACAATAAGAAATAACAAACAAATCAATAAAATACCATATCTACCACAACTTCAGGAGTAACGCTTAATAAAAATATTGCAACGAAAATAATGAAAAAAAAAAATAAATATAATATTCTAATCTGCAATTGCAATATTATTCACATCGTGAATTTTTCTTATTTTTCAATCTTTACTTAAAGAGACAAATTTATTATTTCTCGGAAAATAAAAATATATGGACAAATTTAAAACATCGAGATTTAAAGAGAACTAGCAAAATCCTTAACGTTATTCCAATGTACAAGGGTGCATACAATAAATGTACATTGCAATGTTACAAAGAAAGAAATATATGAATGTCATGGCTATTCTTATGAGCGTCATGGTGTTCGTTTCTCTTTGTCGAGTGCGTGTCTCATAAATTAGTTTATCCAGCGACAGGGAAGCATTTCTGATATATATAAACGAAAGAACGAACAAGATACGTCGGTATACCTATGCAGTAGTAGTATTATATGTATACCAAGGAAGACAAGTAGATTTATAGCAAGGGAGTAGCAAACCGATGAAGGTGCAACCCACGCCACGATCCGTATTACCTGTTTCTGAACAAGCCGAGAATTAAATTTTTTTCGCAAGAATATGTCAAGGCTTTTCTCATTTTACAAATCACCAAAATTCAATTTGAATATATCCGTAAGATGATTTTTTATCGGTCTCCCTCTTTCTTTCTCTCTCTCTATCACCTTCTAATTACGCTATTTGGAAATAGTATTTCTAATTTGCTGCAAAATATGTTCTTATTCTTATTATAAAGTGAATGTTAACAAAAAAATAAGATATTCAAAATTATCTTTACAAAATAGGAAATGTTATATGTTCTTATAAAGTTATTTGTTAGTTCATCTTTTGACTATATGTGTTCGGCGCATTTAAAAATTGTAATAAGAAGATAAAAGGATTTATAACATATAAAATTGGCCATTTATAAATATGACCGGAAAAAGCACTAGTAAAATGTACTGAAATTATCATTCATTACCGTAATAATGGAACTTTTTTCCCAACCTAATATATCACACAATAAATTGCAAACAATATCGATTGTCCGAATTTCAACACGTAAAAATTGTTGCATTGAAGAAAATGCATATGAAGATTCAAACATTCGAAAATAATATGCCAGTATCTAATACTTACGTAATAAGGACACAAGGACTCCGAATGTAATTTAGTAAGTATTTCTTATAATTAAGCATAACCGTCTAACTTGCAAATAATACACTATAAAGATCACACTTTTGACAATTGTTTGATATTTTGAAAGAAAATTTACATACGTTAATAAAAATATGCAAGCGTATAGTGCCACTATGCGTATACGGCTATTATTAAAATTTGCAATGTCTCGATATATTATTTAAAAATATGTAAATTTTGTGTGTGTGTGTGTAAATTTATTAATCTGACCTATTCAAATAAATAATTAAAATGCAATATATATAAAAATAAAGACCAAGAAAACAAATAAAGATCGATAAGAGATCTATACGGATGTCTGTTCTATTTTCATAAATATTTCAAAAAAACAAAATTGTTTTAGAAACTATGTACTAGTTATCTGTACGACGATACTTCCGTTGCAACTTGATAGTTTTCAGCTAATAGCTTACTTTGCGATCACGACTTAAATTATCAAAAAGGATTTACATATAATCTACACTAGACCTAATCGTGGTATACTGCTTTGTTACACACAGAAATTGGACTTTATATATTAAAATAACATACGTGAATTTATTTTCTTCATCCCCGGAATCCTTCTATAATGAAATTTTTTATAAATAAATAATAAAGAACGAAACCTTTTACATATATTATAGTATTTATCTAATACATTTCAATGAAATAATAAAAATCTGAAATAAACGAAAGTCGTTGAAAATTGTTGGATAAGTGAATTCCGAACATACGTGATTACGTTCAAATCAATTGCTATCCTTTAACAAGTATATATAAATGTACATAATAATTTAATTTTTTTTTTCAAATGAATGTTCGAACTACGTAATAATTATTTTCGAAGTACGTAAAATAATATAAATATGTCATTGTTAACTTTTATTAAGTTCATTAACAAGTAAAAAATATTTTAATAAACATTAGGAATAAAAACGTATAATCTATCAGTATAAAGAAATAGAAAATGAAACTTGTATGTTCAAATACAGAATTATACATAAGACAATACACATAAGTTTCTAATTTTTCCGTAGATGCATAAAATTAAACAAACTTAGTGTAACCGTGTGTAAACGGCTTTATTAAGTAAATAATTTAATCCTGTTTACGTTAATTTTATACATTTTTAACAGTTTTCAATTTATTTATTATATCGACTCGTACTGTTCATATTAAATTTTGGTCAAGAACAAAATTAATCATCCATACAACTTGTGATTATACGGAATTTGATATTTATGCGTATTTATTACAAAAACACGTATAACAAATAGCATTTGATTTCTGTTATTTAAAAAACTGATTAAAGATTTACAATTTACACAAGTAACATTAGTATAAAATGTATCATTTACTTGTTATATGCATAAAATTGTTTTGCTAGATACATGATCAATTCTACTAAGATTAAAGATTACGCTTTGTTTCAATAAAAGTATTTAATGAATTTAAGCGTTTAACTTGTATTTTACTTTCTTTTCATTTACATTCAAAAATAATTACGTATCAACAAATGATATACATAAAAGAGTGCATTTTTATATTTATTGGAAAGATATAAAAAAACTAATTAACCTTTTGCGGACTACCTCCGCATATATGTGTTCTGCGTAAACCATCAATTTGATCGAAGAACTCATATGTGCGTTTAGCGAAAACAACTGACAGAGCCGAAAATCTAATGTATGTGTTTTACGTAAGCACGTCAATATAACGTGAAGGCAGAAATTTGAGCTGGCAATTTCAAATGACTATCGTGAAAGTGGCTCTGCCCAGCGGAACGCTTAACGTTGAATCGTCCCGTCCGCAAAGGGTTAAGAAATACAATCTTTATACCAATATAGAAATAATATTTTTGTAGTATTTTTAATGTCTCGTCTTTCCTCCGAAAAAAAATGAAGTCACTTCAACGTATTTTTCCTCCAATATTCAAAACAAAGTTATTAAATACTTTGTGAACACAATCTTAACAAAGTAGAGCACAATTATTTTATTGTGATTATTAATATTCTTTCATATTAAACATATGTTGTCATATCTAAGTAATCTTATTGGCATATAATTTTTTCCAATATTCAATAATAAATATAATTGATTGATTTTTATTTTTTTTATATATAGCCATAAAAATTTACTAAAAGTAAATCAGACAATTTCGTATAAATTGAAAATATCTGTGGTGTCATAACCTGAACACACACAAAAACTATCCATGAAAATCTTAAAGATTCTATGTCATTGATTTCAGAATGATAACATGCAAGTTGGGATTTCATAATATTCGATCACAAAAAGTAATCTGCTTGTGGTTTTTTACTAGGTATTCCTCGACTTTCTTGTGGCGCTGCTTCAAAAATTGTAAAATCCCTTTGTAAGTGTTCGTTTAATTCCAATATAGCCGCCACATTACCACATCTAAAAATAAATAAAAAATATATAGTATATATATAAACACAGACACGCGTACACCCACATGCACACTCATAAATATATTCAGATTTTTTTCAAATATCACAACAAATATATATATTTCAATAGTAAAATAATTTATATGAAATATTTAAAAAGATAACTTAAAATTGTATAAAATGTAAAAAGTTGCTGATTTAAATATATACCTATAACAATAATTTGGTGCAGACCATACAGTGAGAACAGTTTCATTGAAATGCCATTTATATCCTTCCATTACCAACTGATGTGCTCTACATATCATATCAATATCATTAGCAGAATTAAACTGAGCTACAACATCACTACCAAATAAATATCCTGCTCCACGTGGTGAGACTCCCCAACCTTGAGTATCTTCTGGATCAGACCATAATAAATCGCACATAGGGCCATCGTGAGGTACCTTTATAAAAGAGTTTGTATTATTCTCTTAATAAATATAATTTTAACAATATCAATAAATGAAAATTATGTATAATGTTTGTTGAACTCATTCTTTTCAATAAATTTTAAGATTGTCATAAAATTAGGTTTGATTAAAAATATTTCTATGTCAGACTTATAACTTTTCAACCCATCCACATATATAAGAAAACTAAATAAAAAAAAATAAATAGTATTGTTAAAAAAGAATAGAATATGTAATCATTATTACTCACTTCTTGTTTTCTATCTATAGTGCGAATCTGATCAAGAGTTTGAATACTAGGAGACAAACCACCATGAACACAAAAAATTTTCCCATCTATAATAGCTGACAATGATAAATAATCAAAAATTTCAGTACAGTATCGCCATACCGTAATACTACCATATTTACGTAAACATTCGTCGTAAAATCCATATACTTGAGTAATCTGTCTTGATTCGTGGTTCCCTCTAATTAATGTAATCCTATCAGGATAACGTACCTAAAAAATCAACAAAAATTCACAAAATAATCTTACTAATGCATTGAAAATGTGAGAATAAATAATACATAATTCTTGAATTTATAAGCATATTACTTTTAATGCAAGGAGAAGAAGGAATGTTTCGACGCTGTAAAATCCTCTGTCAACAAAATCTCCCATAAAAAGATAATTCGTTTCTGGAACATCACCACCTACTTTAAATAATTCTTTCAAATCATAAAATTGACCATGAATATCTCCACATACCTATAAATATAAATTAGAATTAATAGTAATCACATATAATGAAATATTTGAAACATAATTCTTGACAAAACGAATTACTAAATATATTAATAGTCTACAACTTCTAATGAATTCAAACTTACTGTCACCGGAGAATCAACTCGTTGTACATTGCTTTCTTCTATAAGAATTTCACGAGCCTTTGCGCATAAAGCTTTTACTTCTGCTTCTTTTATAATTTCACATTTCTTCAGTTGTTCAATTTGCCGATCCAAATCACTGGAATCGGCCATTTTAATGATACCAGATGAAAGTGGCTACAAATATATCTATACAATCTCAATTCTTATTTCAAAGTTAAAAAGATTATATACATATAGATAAGATAAAATATAGTTATGTATATTTTATACTAAGTGTAATTTAATATCCGCTAACGTTTTACAAATATTGTTGTATGCATTATTTAAAATAAATATCGCTGATTCATTACAAAAGAAAATATATTAAATCATAAATTGAAAGTTTAATTCATTCTCAATATGTGATGTCTATATTTAATTGAAGTACAAAGCGTTGACGTAGTAAACAAAATCAGGTAAAGTGTACATGTATATATATATTAAAACATATAATTTTTTTAATTATGATTACAAGATACTATTTGCATGAATAATTCGTATAAAGTTTATCAATTATATGCAATAAATTACAATATAATTTCTGAGAACGTTACAAGAGAACAAATCTAAAGATATAACTAATTTTAACAAGAAAAATCTCTCAGTAATTTGCATTATTTTGTTAACATCTTCCAAAGTAAAATGTAAAATATAATAAATACAGAAATATTATGAGAAATAA